TTATCACAATCTGACATTCCTATAAGCTCTCCTGCTCACCATCTGTGGAAGGGAAATTTCAGCTGGGCCTAGACTTACTCTGTTTTTTTCACATTTCAGAGCGTATGTTCTTTCAACTAGTAGGTGTTCAGTACATTTTGTAAAGTGCTATGAGACATGCTCCTGACATGAAAGGCGCTGGCGTAGTGTAAGGATTTATATTTTAAATCATTATTAGGAACCTCGTAAATGGTTTCATTATGGAGACTGAATTCAACAATTTGCCAAATTCTGCACATTTTGCAGTGCCAAGAAAATAGAATAAATCTGGACGATTCCAGGGACTTTCCAACAATTCTCCCCACCCAATATGGGAATAGCTGAGTCAGCAGCTAATCGCTGAAGGAAATACAAGAACATATTTTTGAAGTCTGTAATAATGTCCATTGATATTACGCAGAACAGTCATTGAATCCATAGAATAATTTGATAAGTCAGTTAAAATCCGTGAATCACATGGGATAAAATTAAATATAATTGCTTAATCTCTTTAGACAGCGCTGATCAATACAACCTACGAAATAGTACAGCCACGTGTTTCCCAGCAGTGAAAAGATCTTATGGTTAAAGCACCAGCATGTGCTTTAGAGCTTCTGATGCCTGGAATACACTTCCCGACACAAACATACAGGATCAACAGTAAAAGCCTTTAATGTAACAATCATTATCCTTCAGCTCATTTCCAGCTTTATCTCACTTTTACTTTTCCAACCATTTTAAAACCAATGGTTACATTATTTTTTGATGATTTTGCTTTTTATTATACCTGCCTTTTCTCCTTTAATGCTGGCAGCCTAGCTCAGTTGGTAATATTCTTGCCTCTAAGTCGTTGTGAGTTCAAGCTTGACTTTGGGACTTTGAACTCACAATCTAGGCTGCTACTCTATTGCAGTGCTGGGGGAACACTGCATTATTGCAGATGTCATCTGCATGAGATGTTAAACCTGTCTACCTGTTCAGCTTTAATAATCCTTCCATTTGGTGTAGCCCCTATCATGTCAGCAGGATGACCCAAAGCACTTCACAGAATTTAATTTAAAGTGCAGTGATTGTGTGTGACTAAACTCCGGACGCCCATCACACCAGCCGTTGCCGGGCTGCAATGGCTCCCAATCACCGAACAGATCGACACCAAGATCCTCTCACTCGTTTTCAAATCCCTTCATGCCCTTGCAACTCCCTACCTATCTGATCTGCTTACCCCCCACACCACCACCCCCCCCCCCCCCAAGCCTCCGCTCGGCTAGCTTCGGCCTCCTGTTTTTACTCGCCCCCTCCACTCCACCATTGGCGGCCGTGCTTTCAGCCACTATGCCCCGAAGCTCTGGAACCCGCCCTCAATCCCTCCACCTTGCCCCCTCCCTCTCCACTTTCAAATCCCGCCTAAACACCTTCCTTTTTGATCGTGCGTACGGCCCCCCGGAACACAAGATCACAAGATTGGTTTGGACAAAGAAAGCACTTTGGCCGTGTGATCCCATGCTTAAGAGTATCCAACCAAACTGAGAATTCCATGGATCCCACATACACAAGCCATCCCACATGAAAGGCGCTATGTAAATGCAAGCTGTTGTTGTTGTTGGAATTCCCTAGATAGGTTGTTGGAATGGAATGTGGACTCTCTCCCTGGAGGGATGCATCCTGCTTACCTAATTCCGGAAAGTATTAGGTGCAGGTTGAACAATGCAGAGGCAGTTGTATAAGGATATAAGGATGGGGAACACTTATCTATTTGCTGCAATGGCACTTTCCCCTGATGGAGATAATATGCTCCAATGTATCTGTGGTCATTTATTTTAAATATTAAATTCAATATAACGGTAACGCAGACACCATATGGTCATTGCGTCACTGTTCCTGTCATTATCACTGTAATTTGTTCACTGACATTGTGCTGCTAAGTACCACTTCTCTTTAAGATGAATTCCAACTCCAGATCAATTTATTCAGACAATATTCATCTATGGGCAATAAGCTCAAATATCATTCCCGACTTTCTATAGTGAAATGCCATGCATGTCACTTTACAGTACTTGTGTGAATTGGTTTATTGATGAATTCAAATGAACTCCAACTACACTTCTAGCCTTAACATTATTGAAACAAGATGTGGTTGCTTTGGCTTTGGTAATGTTTTGGTTAAAGACAATGTTTTTGGAGTCTAATATAATAATTCTTGCATTTGATACAGTGCCTCATCATGTCATTGCAAAATCTCAAAAGCACTTCATATAATTTACTGTAAAGTGATGTTGCTGTGTGTATTTTGTGGGCAACCATGGCAGCCAATTTGAACACAGCAACATCCCACAAACAGCCATGGCGTGAGTGACCAATTTTATTTGGTGGATTGTTAGGCAGGACACCAAGATAAACTCTGTCTCTGATATTCACCTTTCAAAACACATTCTCCACAAAGTGAATTAAGGAAGAGGGCAATGTCCTTAACTCCAAATACAAAGTAACACACTGTATCACATTCACTAGGTGAATTAGTGACATCTAGTGGGGAGGAATAGGTAGTGCACCAACTTCACTTTACAGCTAAAACATTGGCTTCAAACCTTACTTAAGATGAACCTTGAACAAAGAACTAATCTTAAGAGAATGAGGTTAATAGAAACAGGAGTTGACACCTAGTAAGAAATGTTTCCATAAAGGGATTCTCAACTGAGTCAATTCGTTTCACTTTATGGCTGTTTGTGGAACATATCGCTTTGTGCGACTGTGGCATTTCACTCACAAAACAGAGTCAATGCACTTTGCAGTATATGCAGTGAAGAACTTTGAGATATGTCTCGAGGAAGTGAAAGGCGCTGTTTCAAATGCAAGGATTATTATTGTTATTATTATTATTGTTGTTGTTGTTGTTATCATTGATTCTCTCGTTGGTTAGAACCGTTTGCTTAAAGGAGAGATATGTTAAAATAATAACATAGCCACGAAAAAAGCATTGCTCTGCTCTCTCTGCAAGTTATCTTCACCATGTGTCAGTGTGGGAGGACTGGACGCTTCTCACCAGTCGCTGAATGGCGCTGTTGTAGGCTTTTTTTTCCCCCCTCTCCAAATACAGTAGTTATATTCTGTACATTGTCGATTCCAGTTGACAACAACAACAAAAAAACAATCGCAGTTTTGGTTTCTCTGTGTGTGTTTTTTTCTCCCCCCCCCCCCCCCCACCCCACCTCCTTTTTTTTTTCGATTTTAGCATTTGGAATTTTTTTTTAAAAAAAAAACAAGTTTTGGGGATGCATTGCAATGAAAAATAAAAATTCACTCAAAGTGGGTAAAAGCTGGGCTGTAACTACCTGGAGGGAAAAGCGTTTCACAACAACGAAAATCACTGTCTTGATGGCTTGATGTGCAGAGAGAGAGAGAGAGCAGTGATCTCTTTGCTCTAACACAGATTGCAACTTTAATATGTGTCTGAGCTTGAAGGGAAAGGTAGATATATACGGTTTAAAGCAAATAGAAAGGTGTATCATATCCTCTTGTATATTGCACATGACACTTTAGGACGTTTTACTGTTAATTCATCTCTAAGTACAGTGGATCCAAATGTATGATGCTGCATGTGTATGTGTGTGTATGTGTGTGTACGAGAGAGAGAGAGAATAAAGCTTTAAGACTCTCTGTTACAGTCCTATTTTTGAATGCAAAATCTGCAAATCATTTCTCAAATCAGAAATGAAGAACTTGGGAATGGGGGGTGGGGGGGGGGGGAGAACCCAACTGTTTATCAGAAATCATATCCAGTGGATCATTCAATAAACTGTGCGAGGTGACAGGAAAGATCATGCTCGTTATTACCGGTTCTTATAGCAGAGAGGGGAAGGGAAGGGGGGAATGGGATAGGGTTGGAGGGAGGGGGGGGGGGGGGGGGGGGGGAGGACAAAAAAAAAAGTTCCTGGTATCCACGTACTGTTATCAGTCAGGACATCTCATCCATGGCGAGCTGACTGACAATAATGCAATTCAAGGAGTGTCTGAACGGGAAGGATGTTCTTTTGCAAAGAGCGTTAACACGTTTCTAATTAAAGACACTCCAGGCTAATCCGGGGGGAACTGGGCTACGTCTGCAACCAGTGCAGTGAGTGAGTAAAGACTGGGAAAGATCTAACGAAACTTACCGAACAAAGGTTGCCAAGTGGACTTTTATTGTTTACCACCCACCACCTCAAGTCGATAATATCATATTGAACTACCACATGCATCATATACTATATAAGGGCCTGCACTTGGAGGCAAGGCTGAAAAGGTGTAGTTTATGGAATATAGTGCACAGCAGAAGAAATCATTTATTTTGTGAGTGAGTCTCTGAACATTTGTTTCATAAAAAAGGGTGAGAGCAAAAAATACACGAGTTTGCACTGAAGCCCAGGAAGGAGAGCAGAGCAGAGGAGACGACTTGGAAGTGGTGTTTTGAAGGTAAAAGCAAAATGTTTTGACTCAGATCTGCCTGTAGATTGTATGGCATTTATTTTTTTATTTTATAATCACTTTGCTGCAAGGAATCGGACAGACAGAGACCGACAGACAGACAGACAGAAAGAGAGAGAGAGAGAGAAAGTGAGGGCAGTGCATGCTTTACCAGCTTTACTAGTTAGTTTAGCTGATGCAAAAAAAATAGCAACACGAAAGCAAATTGTGTGTGCATTTTCTGGAGTTTTATTACAAGAATTGTGAAAACTTCTGTCAGGGACAGTCAGCAATGCACGTTGATCGGTTAGCAAGTTTAATAAGATCTGAGTCTATTTTGTCTTGTGATTTGTACCCCAAAAAATCACTTGTATTCTCATCTAATCCAAGGGAAATCGACAGACTAACGCCAATGACAGTGAAATTGCACAGTTATGAGTGGTTTGGCATAAGCTTGTGATTGTAATAGCAAAGCTGTTCAAGAAGATCATGACGTTTTTTTTTCTTCCAGTGCAACCAGCCAAGGTTGGGGAGGCTTTTAATCTGATTTCAACAGAAATGCAGGGAGTGAGATCCCCCTATTCTTTGGACTTGTGCTCATAATAATCACAGCCGGACATTGCAAAGAGAAGACCAACCTCACCGAGTTGCAGGACAAGAAGAACCTATTTAACTTGATATTGGAGATCGTCAACCAGTTTAAGAAGCAGCACTCACAGGAGGAAAATGGTCTGAACTATTTCCCCCAACGCCTCGATTACACCTTTCATCCTCAGGAACAACCTGACTACAATGTGTATCACAAGGAGGAGAGGGTTGGTAAGTGTTGCTTTAGATCTATTGATCGGTGTGGTTTTTGTTGCGGGTTTGTCGATTTGAGAATGATCCCCCACCACCACCCCCTCCCCTCTCCCTGTTAATTTGGCACTTTGCAAGTGAAGTGTTTTGGGGGGTAAGGAACCATCCACTTGTGTTTCTAGGCATTGAAGTCCAGCCCAGTCCCTTGGATATAGTGTAGTGTGTGTATAATATATACGTGTGTGTATATGCTGTGAAAGCTCACCGTTAATTAGTAAATGATCTGGAGCTTTGGGGTACAGCAGCTCAGGCACTGGAGCTCTCTCATGGGAAGGTCATTGAGTGAGATAGCCTCAGGTTGGCTTCTCTGTGGAGGTGACTGTCTGGTGAGAGTGTACAGTGAGCTCTTCTCTGGGTCCAGGCGACACGAGTGAAGCTGAATGGAGGGGAGGGAGGGAGGGAGGGGATGGGAGCAAAGTGCCACCATGGAGCATTTTATGAATGGAGACCAACACGTAGAGGGAAAGAAGGAAGAAAGGGGTGACTCGAGGACATGGGCTGCGTAGGTTTCAGCAGATACCGTGTGCATTTCACAACCAAGGCTTGGGATGTGTTCTCTGGACTTTGCAGGAGTGGTCCCCACCTTATCACTTACCAGCTGGATTTGTTGGTCAGAGCCTTTAGTTAGTACTTTTTTTTTTTTGCATTGTTTCATTTGCCTCTGGCTGAAGGGGAGGAAAGTTTTGCATAAATAAAACACTCTTGCAGTTGCCAAACTGTGATCGTTTCTCAAAATAACATGGATCAGTTTTTTTTTGCAGACCTACTCACCCAGTCAGTCACTCGAGTACTCACTCAGTCAGTCAGTGCCCTGTTACAGAATTAGAATTACACTCGGATCCCTGCTATTTGCGATCTCATCATCCATCCGTAAATTATCCCACGTTTCTATAAACAAAAGTATTCGGAATCCGCGGCTAATGGGCTTTATAGTGCTTCAAATTGAAACAAATGGGAAGGGCTGACGTCTCGATGCTTAAGGTTCCTGTAAACTGCAATTGTGCTGCATGGTTTGTCTGCCACATAGTTGGCCAAGTCACAGATTTGAATCAATATTTCATACAAGTACTCTGACCAAAAGTAGAAATCTGAAACTCCCAGTCCAAACACATGTGAAAAGACCTGTACAATGCAGTCGAAAGCTAAAGCACTCATTCGGTTGTTTTGAAATTATATATATATATTTTTTTAAAAAACCTGCCTTTTGGTTGATGTTACTGTTTGAATGTTGCCCAGAGCGAAAGAGAAAAAGAAAAGTCTCTTTAAAATGTTGTTTTCATTTCTCTTAACAGAAATAGTACCCAGAGATCTGAGGAAAATGAAAGACAAGTTTTTAAAACATTTAACAGGTGAGGATGTTAATAGGCTCTTCCTTGTTCACACTTATGACATTTTTTTTGCTGGGTGATAAAGCAGTGCTTTTTGCTCACTTTGCTTACGTTTTTTTTTCAGGACCTCTTTACTTCAGCCCAAAGTGCAGCAAACACTTCCATCGGCTGTATCACAATACCAGGGACTGCAACATACCAGCATGTAAGTACCAACTGCTGTAACAAACCTCCCCTGATGGGTAAATAGTGGCCAACATCACAGTAACAATATGCAGACGTTTAAAGGGGATAATTTGCTCCCATGACTTTCTTGGAAAATCCTCTTCAATCTCGTGCTTATTCATGTCTATGGTCCTGTGGTAGAACATGTCTCAGTTTGGTTTGGATACTCTTTAAGCATGGTGATGGGTTTTTGCATGTGCCAAACACCTGGCTGACCCAAGAGAGAAAAAAAATCCTTCTTGAGGGCTAGTAACTGCATTAAAGTTGGAACACTGCAATAGGGTGGATTTTTTTTTATTACAGATCACACAAATCTGTTTTGGTTAGGCTAAGGTAGAATAAGGATATGCCAAAAGAATGCCGTATAGAATTTGGCTCATGACACCGAGCCAATATCAGACTGACTTTAACCTGAGACAAAACGTACGCACACACGGTTTCATTTTTGGAGGGAGATTTGGGACTTGATTCCAAATCGGAGCTGAGCTGTTTCAAGTTGGTGTTGTTCTATGCGATTTCTATGGGATATGGTAACTTAAGACAGCTCAGTGCTGATTAGAAAGAGCTCCTTCAATTGAAGCAAAACGGCTGTGCTATCTGTGTAAGGATTATGAACAAATTATATGTTGCCACCCACCCCCAGCCTCCTGGACACAAATCTGTGCTAAATTTGGCAGCCCAACATGATTGTTCTGAACAATTCATTGCCAATGCATACATACAACTTATATTGAAGATAAGTTGCAGGCTAGAGCTGTAAGAGTGAATGCAATGATGGGAAATCCGGAGGAATTTCAGGACAATTTCTGGAAGATCCGATGGTTCCTTCTGGCAAACTCTGTTCACATGCACCCACTGTTTCATCTCGACTCAATGTCGTTCCTTGTATCCCATGTCACCTTTCCCTCATGTGGGAAACTCAGCTAATCTTATCAAACATTCACTGTAGGAGCAAGGTAGATTAGGGAAATAAATCTATGGAATACCCCCATCACAGTCTTTAGGATTATCAAAATGAACAAATCCTTAGTATGGCATTATGTGTATACAGCATAAACATTTACTTTTTATTGAAATAAGTTTTCACTTTTTTATGATGGCACTAAAGCTGCGAATGATTGACTGAACAACAGTTAAGATGGGAATTACAGTTCTCTTGTTTACACTTGATTGGTTGAGAAAATGATATCATTGCGTGTGTGTGTGTGGGAGAGGTAAATTGTAAATTGTTACAATTGAAGCTTTGGAAACCAAAATTTACAACAGGCAAATTGAAATTCTTGCACTTTGGATAAGCCCTCATGTTCTAATCCATTTCATGGGTATGAAAGTCAAATGATCGGGTTATTCAGACGCTGAATTACTAACTTTAAATGACCAACAGTTGAGTTTTTCAGAGGAACTTGACATACAACAATCTTTGGGGAATAGGCTATTCAGAAGCAGGTGTTTGGTTAGAATGATTGGTAGTGTGTGCAGCACCGGTGACAATATTCTGTTTTTTTTTTGACAGATTATAAAAGATGTGCCAGACTTCTCACACGATTGGCAGTCAGTCCGATGTGTAGGAAAGGCTAACTTGGATTAAAGGTAAGAAGTCTTATTAAGTTAATGTCTTCATATGTCATTTAAACAGCTTTGCTGTGGGAGTTAGACGTCTTAACCATTCTGTTATGACACTGGGTTGTTTTTTGGGGGGTGGGGGAAAGAAATGGGAGCTAATGGTGCTATTTTTGAGAGGATTTGCCCCACTTCACTGCAGCTGGTCATTCACAGCAAGTCTGCATGTGTGAATCTTCCTTTAGGCAATATCAATTACCTATCAGTATCAATTTAATTGATTGGCATTTGTCAATGCAGTGTCCCTATTATTGTCTGTGAAACCTATCTGTGCTGCATATTATCAAAATTATTACATTCATTTCAGCTCCTCAAAACATTTAGAACTCAGTTTCAGAAAAGGTATATTTTTTTTGTAGAAAAAAAGTAACCTCTTTAGAGAGGTGGAGTATTTCCGAATAACTAGTAGAGCCTTTTCCAAACAGTGGAAAAAAGGATTTCTGCACCTCGTTGTAAGTTTATAGATTAATAGGTCTAAAAAAATTCTAGATTTACACTTGGTTTAATTACTCAATGTGATAATAATAATAATAATCCTTGCATTTGATATGGCACCTTATCACGTCATCGAGACGTTTCAAAGAGCTTCACAGAATAGATTGTAAAGTGGATTGACTATATTTTGTGGGTGAATTCATGTTGGGACAGTTGGAAGTTATTCAAAATCCAAGCAATTACAGGCCTAAAGGCCTCTTGGCTACACTCTGCTGGCCTTAATGGGTTGGAAATTGCTTCCCCACAACCTAACACTAATTGCCGAGGTACACTTCAATGAAAAATTAATAGGAATGTCAGCAGTAGGGCACGTCATTTGGTCTAGCCTTGTAATCGATACCTCATCCCACGCATATTGGAAACAGTATATCTAGCTTTTGATTAATTAGTATAAAAAAAATCAATTGAATGTTGCTCCTTAATGGGCTTACTTTGCTAATCCACAATAGACAATACTGTTGAGTGCTCTAACCGATAGGTTAGTTTTAAAAGGCAATACATACACTATTTGAAGGTAGATGTAGTTCAGGCAAAATAGTACATTACAGTAAATGCTGTGAAACACTGCGATCACTCTGGCTGGGAATCGTTATATCAAATGCAAGGATTATTATTATTATTATTATTATTTCTTCATTTTTCTTAAGCAGACAGTGGGAATAAATCTACTTTCACTTTATTTTTCCTATAAGCAGTGATGAAAATGTCTAAAAGACTTGGATAATTCACGCTGTTATTGCTTGCATTCATTTGATGAAATATCTGCTTGTTTGCTCTATTCGAAGTAGATACTGCAAGGAGTGAAATCTTAGCTTTTTGCTTACAGATAATTACATGAGATCATTTTGATCCAATTTCTCAAGCAGAGTAACAGTACTGTAATATATTGGAAGCATAAAAAATAAAGTGACCCATGGTGCAACTATCCAAGAGTAGATCAATTGGTGGTCTGTTTCTAGATGGAATGCCTCAAGGAGTCATCCACCTGCCATAACTTACCCACAATCTAGCAGGCAAATTTGAAAACCATTCTACCTGGGAATTACAAAAAAACCATAGATGTTCAATACAAACAGCTTCTATTGTTAGACACAGTATAAGGATTCAAACAATGAGATCACATTTCTTAACATTTCTCTTGTCTTGAGTTAAGACAACTAACCAAAGATGAGGGAAATGTTAAGAGATCAAGCAAACAGAAGTGCCTCTGTGAAGCACTGAACAATATTTACTGTATTTGATGGCACTTAGGGTTACTTCCAACGTAGAAATGCGCCGCAATATAAGCTGATGCTCAATGAATAAGAACTATGAAAATTGCTTTTTGATTTGACAAAATGAAAGCTAGGGTATTTTTCCAGAGCCTAAGTTTTCTATCAAACATTGGGGCGAGAGGAAATCTTGTGATAGCTGGATTCATTTTGGAACATCCACTTATTGGTGCAAACAAATACATGCAAGCCCAGAAACTGTTTACCTGTATGCACATCACTTGTTTGTGGGACATTGTTTGGTGCACACTGTCTGTCACATTTGCCTACAAATACAGTCAGCACTCTGCACAGGAAATCTGTGAAACATTTTGAGATGATGTGATACGGCACTATACCAAATGCACAGATTATTATATTATGTGTGTATTCCCAGAATTGTCATGTATGTCCTCAATCATGAACACCAATTTATTTTTGGCAAATTCAAGTTCTATAGATTAAACTTAGGTGAATTTTGTTTAACCAATTAACTGAGTATTCAGTAAATGACTAATAATTCTTAGTATTTGATTACTTGAAGGCCTAATAAATTACAACAGAATATCTGCACATAGAAATGCTATGCTTGACCATATTCCTGGAAGGGTCAATCATGGTGCACAGCTTTTTGGCTGGGATTTAGGCTCATAATTACAAATATTTCACTCACAATTTGATATACATAATTAAGTGATGAAGCATTTTCAGTATCTCATAGATAATTAGGTAGCAGTCATTTTCACAATTCAAACAATTGAAATCTGTCTGCATATAGACTTTTTAAGTACATTTAAGTTGAATAATCCATTTTATATCTTACAGGTGGCAACGATAAATTAATATCCCAAGAACCAAGAAAAGTGCCTTGGAAAGCAACAGGGAAACAAATTGATCTCAATATCTTTATAACATATTCCATTGTGAACAAAGATTTATTTTTGCAAACTGATGGATTACTTCCATAAACTCCTTTATGTGCATTTTGTATGTTGTCAACATTGTTTCCGTAATTCTGTACATTCATATAAATAACTGCCAATGATACAAAGGCTAACATTTAAAGAAAATAATAACACTTCACTGTTCTTTTGTGTACTGCGGCCAAAAATTGCACATATGCTATCTTGTTCAACAAATCATGTTTGGAACTTTATTTTGTATTAAACATCAGGAGAGATATGGTTCATGACAAGACTAATGCATCCTAAATTTATCGTAGGATTTGTTTCATGCTTCAGAGTGCTGGTTATCGTTACATGTCAAATGTAATGCTTCTGCAGTTTAATTCCATTTGCTGGGTCATAACAGCAAAATATTGATATAATAGAATATTTAGGGTCACTCTGTACCCCAAGAGTTAAATTATGGTTTGCATGAATTTTTTCTTGCCTCTGTCTTTACAAAAACGAATATTTCAAAACAATGCTGGTAGATTAGTGCAATGTTGGTTATAGTTTACATTCTTGCAACTAAAAAAAAACGACATCTGTGAGCAATTATCTTTTCTCAAACACAGTGGAGTGTCATTTGTACATAAATATACAAGCTAATGTCATTAGTCACTGTACATTACAATTTATAAACATTCCAGCTAACATGTGCAATATGTATATATTGTAAAGACCTGAATATATACCAGTTATAAAATAAAGTGTTTAGTATTTGACACAGACAATTGACAAGTGCTTTTTGTTTGCATTCTATGGCTGTTGTATGATAATATAATAATCCTTGCATTTGATATAAAGCTTTTCACATCTTCTGGACATCTCAAAGTGCTTCACAGCATATACTGTAAAGTGAATCGACTACATTTTAAGTTTTTAAACCACTTCAATCATTAATTTATAGCAGCAGAATTTTGTTTGTTTGAATTGTCAAACCATGAATTGGCTGCTCTCAGTAAATTGAAACAAGGAAGTGTGTCAAGATCAATAAGGATTTAGTTATATCAACTTATGACATCCAAGATTTAATCTCAGTAGCCAGAAACTACCTACACGCATGTTTGACACAAGTTCCTCGAGGATTCTTTCTTTCTAATTGATTTGAATTAGACAGCAAATGTCTTCTGTAAATTCCTAGCTGGAATACTTCGAAGAAATTCAGTCTTGCACCACTACCTTATTAATTAAAAATCAGCTATTAGGTAAGCCAGCATGCCATCAGTAGCATCTTTCTTTGCATAGCAACGGGTGCAATAGAATGCTTGTAATTTCATTAAAAAAATGAAGTTCAGCATCTCAGGAACGTCATGCATGTCCACGGTATCACATTTTCTATACAGTATTTATGTACAGTTCCTCCAGGCCTATTGTGCCTGAAGTATAGTAACTGTGATAAGCCTGAAAGATTTTGTTTCAGCACCAAAGGGTCATTTAACCCCTCCTTTCCAAATGGCTCAATGCAACACTTTCTACGGATTGGCAGAAGCCTAAAGTGACATTACTGTACACAATTACTTTGGTGTTTCTCCTCAGGTGACAAATCATGTTTTAAAGCTTTTAGTCTTCAGTATGGAATCACAGTGCTCAGCCAAACTGCTCATAGAATATTTCAAAAACAGGCTGATGTACTTAGTTGTGTGGTAACATCCTCTTACCTCCAGTATCATCTGCTTTCCTATACTAGAACCCAGTAAGGAAACATTTATGAGTGAGATAAAAGGACCACATATTTGGATCAACTTTGCAATATGATCTGTAGGATACACAAAAGGATTGCAAAATCCCACATGGTCTGGCACATTGGGAATTTGCCAAGCAAATCTCTTGGGCTTCTTGAAGTGATTCTTTTTACACGTCTTGAGAACGTTATGTTACAAACACGAGACCTACATCAGACACATCAGTTTTCAATCCCAAAGTCTTTCTTCTTAGATTTGAGCTCCACTGAGCGCAACCTATTGGTTCCAAAAATAATGTTTCGTATAACTTGGAAGATATAGTCTCAAAAAAAATTGACTAGTGAAGTCCGAATGGGAATCTACTGATGACTCTAGGATTCGGGTGTTTATTGATGAATTTCCTGGAACTGAAGTGACCAGAAGTGGGCTTCTATTAGAGCCTTTTTGTAGCTCTATGATGCAGTGGTGAATTGTGCAGGTGGATTTTTGTTGAGATTAGGACTTCTAAAGATTAAACTTTGGACCTAGAGATGATTTTTAGTACAGGTGCAGTTCACTCCAACATCACTAATACCACAGGAACCGACCTTCACTTAGCAGTAGACCTGACTTTACTATTTGGTTTAGAATTACTCCTCGAAACTACAAGGTTAAATTAAGAACCGCCTTATTTTCCTCCTCAACAGTCTCACTTTCATTCTCGAGGGGAATTCTAGAGACAATAATATCCATAGCTGAATCAGACAACATCAAGTGGTTTGAAGTAGAAGCAATATGTTCAATCCTTACAGCTCGGGTATAGGAAAGCACAATGAATGCAAAATTATGGTGCAGGTCATGAATCAAGAAAAATAAAGATTTAATATTACCTGGGAAAACCGTGACATTCCTGATGTAAATTTGGCAAGTCAATTAAATATATTTCCCCTCCTTCACATCATCTTTAAGAGCTTTATTTGTTTTAAAATTACAAAACAAACTCCTCATGTTGTGACACGTAAACTTGCAACCTGGCAAATCTCTTCTGCAGAAGCATGTTCCTTGAAAAAAAAGACTCACTTCATTCATTTGCAGTTTATTTCACAAGTTGACAATTACACTACAATATTAAAAGTGGGCAAATGATACAGCAAATGAGTGCTTTATCTAACTAAAGTTCTTAACCCACTTGGCTCAGAACTGTGGCTCTTAAAAGATGCAAAGTTTGAAATGTAAATCTGTGGTAAATGTCAGGAAAACATAATATTTTATATCACTCCCAAAAGTAAATCACTTTTGTCAAACCATCATTTTAACAACAACAAATTACATTTTTACAGTGCCTTTCATGTTGGAAGGTTGTCCCAAAGTGCTGGGATCATTTTAACTAACAGATTTATTTATGGAACCATGTCACTTGATGAGAAACCTTGGTTTTATTGTTTGAATGTAGCTTGGCCTCCACATACAAATGATACATCATCTAAATGGAGGGTAAAAACATGGGACAACGGGAGGACCAAATCAACAAGTGTCAAAGGCAACAAAAAGGTCAAGAAAGCCTTGGCCACAGAAGGAGAAAGAATACGAACTTTGTGATTTTGACAAAGGCTGTCTTGGTGCTGTGTCCAGGAATGGGAACCAGCCTGAAGGGGCTCAAGCAACAACAACTTGAATTTGTATAATGCCCGTCACCCGGGTCAGCGTCTCAGAGCACGTAACAGAGGCTTGACGCCGAGTAGGGGGAGGCAAGAGGCTTGACACTGAGTGGGGGAGGTAGGAAGTGACCGTAAACACAGTTGAAGAGGTAGGTCTTCAGGTCTGACCTGAAAAAGGAGGAGGGGGAAAAGCGGAGGGATTGAGGAAGAGTTCAGGGCACAGTGACTGAAAACATGGCCACCGATGGTGGAGCGGAGAGGACGAGGGCAAACAGGAGGCCAGAAGCAGCCCAGTGGAGGCAGCGGATGATGGTGCGGGGAGTAAGCAAGTCGAAAAGGTAGGGAGGTGCAAGGGCATGAAGGGATTTGTGGATGAGTTGAGGATCTTGAGTTTGAGCAAGGAGGGAAGACAGAGGTGGAAGTGAATTTGGGTAGCAATAATGCTTATAACATTAATTCAGAGAATCCCTGTACTATATTGGCTCATGAAATGGTTTTGATGTAAGCAGAATAAGCCTTTGGCTCCTTGATGTGCTTCTCAATCTAAAGATTAACATATATTCCATCAAGCTGCATATTTCTTGGAGCCTGATTTCAGCCTGTTTAAGTTGGTAGCAATCTCACCTCCGAGTTAGAAGGTTGCTGGTTCATACACATCAGGACTAGGTCACCTGACACCAGTAAAGGTGTCAAGGGGATGTACTCAGTACTCAAGTCTATGTCCAGATCTAATCTGAAGTCTATGCCCAGACTCCTGAAATGTTAAAGAAGTTTAGCCAGAGTTGGAGGAGATTGTGTGAATCACAAAGTACTCAACATTTTCTCCTTGATCTAACTTAATGCAGCATGCAATTTGAACCACATCATCCTTAAGCAAAACCGAGATTCTGTTCTGATGGATGGATTTCATAAAACGAAACGGGGTACACCTCAAACAAGATGATTTATATAGGAACAGACGCGATTAACTATTTTTCTCCCTCTTGAATATGAACTCCCATACAGCTTAGCTTTTATGAAGAATCAATAATTTACCAGCACTCAGTAAGAAGATAGAAATGTAAAACTCAAAAGAGTCTTATAACTGCTCTCAGTTTCACCAGTAGTTTCTGGCATGTCACATACAAACTTTTGTAACTATGAGTACTTTGCAATCAATTCTTTGGTGATTTTTGACACAACATCTTGAGATAAAAGTTGAAAAACGTGTTTCATCAATCTACATAACCATAGCATTTCTTTCCATTAAAATGACAGAAAGTAGAAATTGATGGTTTGAAGGATAAAGGATGGGCTTTTGAAATGAGCTTTTCAGCAAGGAGGCATCACTAATTTTGTATGAACTCCTCACTTACAATTAATTAGCTAGAAAACAAGATTTAAAAGGCTTCCAATCTAGAAACTGTGGCAAAATCATAAGGCAGGTTTGGATGAAGAAGGCCCTTTAGTGCATCTGATCTTACTCTTCCACAATACCCACCCCACTGTCTTTCAATAACAGCATGAAGCTGTTTCTTAAATGTGTCCAGTGTGCTGACCCATCATTCCTGGTTAGCCTTTCCAGTCTTCAATTATCCTCTGCGTAAAACAGTATGCAATTAATTTGCTATTTCCTAGCAATATTTATTAACACAACCACGTATACATTTTGTTTAACCTTCTGAAAATGTCAATCATTTGAGAAAGTGCCTAACTACAAACAAACATTGGTGCTTTGTCACTGCATAATACACATATTGTTTTCCAGTTGTATTCATGACAGGGGTTTAATATTCTCCTAGGACACCAGTGGAATTGTGGAAAGACAGCAGGGAAAGTCATCTTAATACATTCTTAGCCCAGTTATTCATTAGCAGTTTGAGGGTTACTTACTTACCTTCTTATAGAGGCATACTGTTTGCAGTACGGGGGGGAAATGAGTCATAAGCATTCTACCTGAATCATAAAGCACCTCTATTCAGCATACATCTGACAGTCATGATGCTCCAGGATCATCAAGTGGTTTACAACAATACTAATCTGAGTCAACATAATAATAGTAATGTAATCAACAACCCCTTCATCTTGGTTCAATGAATGAACGTTTTATGTTGTAAGCAGACAGGTAGCGTATGATGCTGTATGGCTGTGTGAACTTATTTGAAAATTCAGGTGGCAGATTGTGACAGTATGATTTATTTGCAACACATAACCTAAGTAAACCTGCTGCAGAAATAGGGATAAATTAAATAATATAATAATCATTGCATTTTGATATAGCGCCTGACCACGTTTTCGAGACATCTCAAAGCGCTTCACAGAATATACTGTAAAGTGAATTGATTGTATATTTTGTGGGTGAAACGCGGCAGCCAACTGCGCACAGCAATGTCCCACAAACAGTCGTGGATTGAGTGATCAAGGTATTATTTTTTGTTAAGGAATTATTACCACCGGAAAAAACAGATCCACTAATCGACTAACAACCGGGTTCCTACTTCCAGCTAGGCAAACAGAAGCATGTGGAGTAAGGAAAGTTGCCCAAAGCTTCGCCCTGCCCGGGAGTTGAACCCAGGTCTCACTTGTGAGATGAGTGCTTTTACTGCTGAGCTACAGGACTCAGAACGGAATGGAAAAAGGGATGATCCAGGGAATGTTGACGATCATTACCAAAGATTGAGAATCACTGTGGCAACAAAAAAAAGATTGTGGAATACTTTTGAAGCTGCAGATTAAAGTAAAACAGAACATTTTCATAGAATAGATGTTTGATGAAGAACAGGATTTTATTGCAGACAGCAATAACCAAACATTTTGCAGATTAACTGTCAGTTTCAGTTCCTAATATATTTTGAATGTCAATTTCTAATATTTGAAAGACTAAGCATTGTATTCAGTAATTGTTACGGAAAGTGTGTTATGTCCAGGACAACTCTTCATTTGTGAAAGTGAAATTCAAGATAGTTGTTTTATAACTACCAGAAAATGTAGCATTTCTTCAAATGAAATTACAAGTGTGTTGACACTGCCATAAAAGAAAGCATTCTGCTGTACGAATTGGTAAAGTTTTGGTCATGTAATTATTTTTTATTTTTGAAACAGACTATGTTTAAATCCTAAATTTAAAATTAAAAAGGTAAGTAATGTACCCAACTCTAATTTCTCCCACTGGTAGTTCATAACAGATGACTACCAAAAATAGTGAATTCAAGTAACTCCATTTACATTTCACTCACCAGTTCCTATGACAACAGACAACTATTTACAAGATTTAAACCAGATGTTTTAGTTTTTTAAATATGAAATGACAATGTTAGATATTTTCAGGTTTGTCTATCTAATTATGGAAGTACATTGCCTCTTCGGATGCAAGTGAGTAAAGCTTATAAATGACAAAGTATTTGCAGCAAAGCTAATATAATTACTTTATTTTTAACAGTGATTTTCATTCTGAGATTTTTTATTTTTGTTATTAAGTCTGAAACCATCAATGCTGTCAGGGATTGTGCTAAAGAACTGTCAATTTTGCTTTTTCTAACACGTGATAATATTAGCCCTTCCTTGGGTCTGTTAAGAGGTGGCCGCCAGGAATGCTTTGCAACATCTTAAACATTGTTCATAAACTCTTTCAAAGTCTTTTTCACTGCCCTAGGAATGAGAAACAAAACATGATCAGAAATTACCATGATAGGTTATTCACAAAAATCTTGTACATTTCTGTTGACAGTCTGTTAACTTGAAAAATCTTGTACATTTTTAAATGTAAATGCTTGTTTTTTGGTACGAGTCAAAATGCAATGCAATTTACATTTATATTGAGCCTTTGACGTCTAGAGGACATCTCAAAAGTTCTTGTGGTTTTTGCCAGAAGATGATCGCAAGAGACAGTTTGTGATCTCAAAGCTTTCATTAAATAATACTGGTAAAATGGTAACTGTGGCAAATGGACTACCAGCTATTTATTGAGTAACACTGTTTGCATTACAAAAGGTTTTGGAGTTATAGGGAAAAAAACAATTGGTGAGACTTACAAGATGATTTTGTATGTTGGACATTAAAAGCAAGGACTGTTCAAGTATCCATGTAATTGAAGTGACATTCAAATTCCCAACTGATGGAAGTTGAAAACAAGAGGTGACTACTTCCTGGTATAGGTGGATCTCTGATGGGTTACTGGAAGTGAGGAAGTGCTCAACAGCATTCTGTAAAACCATGCTATCTTTTACTAACTTGGACCAAGCGATGTGGCACTCAAACTGAAGCCATGAAGGATTGGAATAGGTTAAGGGAATGAGTTATACTGTTTAAGTAGATTTGAATGTAAGGTAATGGCTGAAATTTCTAGTGCATATTTAATCTGGAGCAGATACTAAGGTGAATTAATGTCACCACGAGGAGGAATACATTTATATAGCGCTGTTCATGTTTGGTGGACGTCCCAAAGTGTTCAACACCCGTAGCAACACAGAATTAAAGAAAGAAAAAAGTTGCACGGTCAAGTTGCCATCTTCATAAATATCATCTCTTGTGATTTCCCTCCCCCGGCAAAAACATATGATAGCTACCAGTGACCTATGCAGAGTAGCTGGAATGAAGAACATTTCACGCATTTAAATAAAACAATAGGTTTTGGAAACTTACATAATAGGGATCTTCAATGACATCCTGGTGCTGTGGGTCATATGTTCCAAGAAGTTGTATTTTAGCCTTGCAGTCACTCACTTTGTCAGCTTTTCTTTTTAAATCTCTGTGAAAAGTTACCAAAATACTGAAATTAAAATGTATGCTACGTACTCACTCTGATGTACAACCTGTTTTCAGATTATAGAGCACATCACAATGTCTTGACGGATTACAATACTCTTAAATGCGCAAACTTAAGTAATTTGTTTTTGTTGTTGCAAGAATTGTAAACCTGAAACTACAGTGTTAAGCACGGTTGAGAAAACATTTCAAGAAAAAGGCAACTTAGCTATCAAGATGGATATTTCCTTAACGTAGCACTCAGTTTGTAGAACTCTCGCCTCTGAGTTAGAAAGTTGTGGGTTTAAGCTGTACTTTGAACTCAGTCTAGGCTGACATTGCAATACAGTGCTGGGGGAATGTCATTGGAAATACCATTCTTTGTATGAGATGAAATATTGTCTGGTCAGGTGGACGTTAAAAATTCCATTTGAAAAGGGAAGGGAGTTTCACCCGGTGCCCTGGCCAGCAATCCCCCAGATATATAATTAGGTCATTCACTTTATGACTGTTTGTGGGATAGTGCTATGGAGAAGTTGGCTACCACATTTCGCCCACAAAATACCCAATCACTACACTTTACAATAAATTCCATTAAGTGCCTCAACACGAAAGGCACTATACTAAATGCAAGGATTACTATGAGTAAGTATCCATAGACCTTTGCTTTGTGAATACAAAGATGAACACAGTTCCTCTCCAATTAAATTTGACAAACAGCATTAGGTTTTTACTTTTCATGTAACCAAATGAACAGATTGATCATTTTTTAAAAAAAAGGGTTCTTACTGGATACTGGATTGCATTACTAAATTAAAATAGAAAATATCTGGAAGCATATTAAAAGAACATTTTAAATATTTCAAGAGGGGGCTTCATAGGTGATAGTCTATCATTCAACTTAAATTATGATAAGTTTACATCACAAAGATAATCAAAAGATTTATGGTACAATAATAAGTAGGTGAAATACCATTTTGGCCATGCACATGACAAGAGTTTTATTTAATCCCATTTTTGAGATTTAATCACTCATGGGTACAGATGAATAAGAAGACTAGGAACAAAATAGTCTGACTAAGAACAAGATTTAACAGCACACTGCAAGTGTTTTTTTAATTTATCAGAATTTAGTAAAAATGGGATACAGGTTCCAAGAGGCTTTTCCCTTCACTGATAGTGATAAGATTGTCACCCAGAGGGGGAAGGGTCAGATTACATCAAATAAGGACCTAATGAGGGGCAGTTGTACTTCTGAAACCATTTGTATACTTGCCCCTAAAATGTCAGAATAATGGGATTTATATAAACAGCAAATTAAGCAACAATGGAGCTTGAAAGGAATGTAATGTCAGTTTAAGTCTCTTCAGAATGAATAACCACAGGTTTCGAGTAATTGGGGAAGAACAAATAAATGGCAACGACAATACCTTAAAACCTCAACACAGTTAAAAACAATCTGGAAGGAAAATACTGTACTCCTTTGTGAGCTCCCCAAATTGAACAGATACTTGTGACAATGCCAATTTAATGTGGGGGAAAGTAACCTTTGACTGATGAGGGAGAGGGCAAAGAATAAAATCTAGGAAAGTAGAAAGGGTTTTAAGAGCTGGATTAATCCCGCTAGAACAAATTTCCTCAAACTCTAATGGTTCAATCATGAGATAACGACAAATGTTGAAGTCATCTTAAAAACAGAGCTGCACCAAAAGCACCCTTGTCTTGATAGAATCAAGGAAATGTTTTGTGAAATCATGCAAATTGTTCTAAATAATTGCTATGCAAAGAGTGTTTAAAGAAATCCTCTGCATATTGACGCATAAACTTTACATATAAAATAATCTGTAACCAAAACAAACAAGACAGATTGATGTCCTGTGCTATCTACTATACATAGAAAGCCGTACAAAATGATACTGTCGATGAAGCACACACTGGCAGTAAAGTACAGCATTGGTTATCCTAAGACAAAGGCAACTCACAATGCAATTTACCCTCAAAATGATAGGTGTGGTCGTATGACTGCCTCATCCATATGCCAAAATATGAAATGGGCTCAGAGTTGAGGCATCATTTTACTTGCCTTCCATTTTGAAAATTAAGTGCAGTTGAGATGCAGAACACCTCACCAATATGTTCTTTAAAATATTGTTACAGCAAGACGATAGACAGATGTAAAACTCTTTGGATACCAAAAATAAAATAGAAAAATAAGACATAGCAAAATATAAAATGAAGATTTTTTGGCGATTAACTGAGAGTATACCAGCAATAGGCCATCCTACACACTTCATGTGTGGTCTAACGCTTTAAACATCAACAAGACAGTTTTTTTTTAAATGGGCTTAAGGGGCTGAAAACTAATAAATCCTCAGGAGGGATAAACTTTAGTCAGACAAAATCAACTCCATCTGAAGTCATTTTGGCTATAATTTATCAAAATTATTGTTAAACAGATACTTTTCCATTTTGCTTCAATGTTGATTTTATTAGTTTTTCAAAGGGTAAGTCAGCCTCACAAGTCTGCAGTGATCAGACAAGTCTGCAGTTACCAAATACAACTTGTCACTTTTCTTGAATGTGGGATCCACATAGAATGATATGGCACAAATAATTTGTGCCTGTGTGATATTCAGATTAGAAATATGCTACAAAATGGTCAGACAACTAGTGCCAAGAATTCTGCCTGACCTAAACATCAATAAAGAACTCTCAGAATGGCATATTCTGATTAACCGCAGTGAGGTGAAATGAGGGCACCCTTGGATGTGAGGTTTATATAAGAAGAGCACTTAGTGTGAGGGATGTTTCAAGTTGTACTTGCAAATTTTAGTCTTCCATTTACTTATGCAGGTGCAATTTAACCCGTCAATGTCTGTGGGAATAAGACATGGCCTGCGAAAGGGAACTAGCATTTTCCTTGGTCACCAACTTTCTCAAAGTTTAAGTGAAAAACTACACTCATTCCTCCTACTCTTGCGTATGGCAAGCGAAGCGATTAGAAATGTTGAAATAACTCCACTCAATGTGAGTAACAATAAAATAACTTATTTCAAATAGCAGTTGGACTGTATAGGCAAACAAGAGTTCTCAAAGACTCAAGTTTAACCCCTAGCAGAGAAAAGTACATAATATATAACTACTTAGACATAGATTCGGGGAAAATGAACATTTTAATTTATTATTAAAACATATTCCACACATCCATATCAGTTTAGATTCATAAATCTTGACTAAGAATATACTCTGTTCTTCAAGCTCATCAGCTTTCATTCTCAGAGACATCAGATTTAACATTAACTTTACAATCTTGAAATGGATCTCATGTTGATTTATTCATCACTCCTTCAATCATTCTAACGTATAATCTAAATGCTATTACAAGTCGTTAAAATAACTTCATTTATATAGGAGCAAAGCATTTTTACAAGATAATTAAAAATAAACACCAGTGTTTTTCCATTTTATTAATTAGAAACAGATTATTTGATCAGTTTAGGCTGAGGTAGAGAAAGAAGATAAGTCCTGTATTACTATAAGCCCAAACTACAAAAACAGTTGAGGATGCAAGAATTCTACTTTATTTCATTTCGACAGTGTGTGTCGAGCTGCAAAGCACAAAAACAAACAGCATATTGCTTCTAAATTTTAAATACTTCATTTAAAGAATCATTTTATTTGTGCATCCTTCCGCTTTGAGATCCAATACAATGTGAATATCTTAACATTCATTTTAATAACAATTTAAATTAATAAGTAAGCAGTACAAAGTACAAATCAAAATGTCGAGCATTGGCTGTGGTCTATAGAAAGGAATACAGTTGGCAAACATTTGTTCGAATTGTAAGGGGCATGATAATCATACATGCTTGAACAATCATTTTTGCTGCAATTTTATCATTTATCTTTGGGAGAATTTTATGCAGCTTAAGGTAAGGGATGGCAGATGTGGAAAACAACTTTTTGGAATTAATATTAGAATATTCAACTCCAATTCAGCCGGGGTTAGATACAGGGTAAGAAAACAGCAATAGGAGGACATTTAGCCTATCTAGCCTCTTCCATTAGTTTTAGATATTGGCAGATCTGTTAATCCCAATGCTTCACTCCTTTGCCATACTCAAACTTTCTCAGCAACCTGTTATATCTGATTTATGATGCAAATTAAGAATTTTGGGAGAAAAACTCATCCACCAGACCCCCACATTTGATGCAGCAAAAAAGTTACTTTTAAATTCCAAAAATTAGCGTCCGGACAAAGGCATGGCTGTGTCTCATACTGCAAAAAATCTGCAGAATAGGATTTTGTGGAAAAAGAGAGCATGTAGTGGGAGTTACAAGCTATAAATCAGTCTCAGGATTCTGTCAAGAATCAATGGTATGATAGACATCCAGCTTTCCAATCCCCTCGAAAGAAACCATTTAATAAGTTCCCCTTCTCCACCCCATCAATGTTCCACACTCTACCTTAATGATACTATTATATAAATACAAGTTGTATATATATTTAGATATTTTTGTAAGTTCCATTCTGCTTTAAGACAAATGTTAATCAATGGTAGTTACACAAGGAATAAGATCTGAAATTATTATATACTGTATAATATAAAGCTTAATAGCAATGTACATCATTGCAACTATGATGCTGTTGAATTCATACATGAAATAACCCCAAATTGGGCTAGAATAGCCAAAATATTCAACAGTAACTTTTAACAGTAAATTTGCAGGGAAATTATAGTGTTACTAAACATTTAGAAAAAGTTAAATACAGATTAAACAGTGCAACACCCAGCATACAAAAGTAATAATTAAAATTAGCTGAAAATATTCTACTCACTGCAAATTGCTGTTATCCATACAAAGGACATAATCGAATGTTCTGAAATCGTCTTTGGTTACCTACACGTTTTTAAATGAAACAAAAAGCTCAACATTAATTATCTTTTTTATATAAACATATCAACTACTTTAACCAAGACATGAAGTTTAGAATAGCAGCCTTTTTTTTGACTATATCTCAGATGCCGCAGTTTTCATGGTTCTCTTTGATGACTGCTTGTGAACAGCAAGCAATAATAGTTCCTGTAAGCAGAACTCTCATTTCATGCAGACTTGGAACCTGTGATATATTACTTGCTTGTCCAAGATGGACAACATTTAGCTTGTACCGTTGGTATTGTTCCGTACATTAATACATTAATAACCTGAACCATGGCTTCATGAATACTTTATTTTCGCTAAAGAGGATATAATGCAACAAACACTACTTTCAGGAATCATTTTATGGTTCTGCATGGCTATAAATTGAACTGTTAATCTTCCTATTCAGTTGCATTAAAATTAAATTTAGTTTTACATAGCAAGCATAGGGACACAATTATCTTTCTCTTCTCATCCCCACACCTAGCAGCGGAATAAGAAATACTTAACATGATTAAATCATCTCTTCCAGTTTTCGCCCTTTCCTTTCAATGAGTGATGGCTTTTTGCTAGGACTTGATTCCATGATACCAGCATCTCTCAGAAATCTTTCCCAAGTGACCATGCTTTATATTAAGCCTAAATATCAAGAATGAGAATCCTCCTGGAACAGCAGGGAGGTAAAAGGAGATATCTATGGAGCTGGAGTGGCTTCAAACTAAAAAAAAAAACTGCTCTACAGGATTATCAGGAGTTGAGCGGAAATAATCCAGTCTGACCCTCCAAGGTTGGCAATGGAATGTTGGAATCGAGTCAATCCTCAATCCGATTCCCGAGCCAGGCAGCTCCGCAGTACTCCATGGCCATGCTGATGACAGACCAGCTAACCTGGTTCATCAGCAGAACTTCGAGGGACATACTGGATTCTTTCCACTCAGCTCCTGATAATCCTGCAAGCCAGTTTTTTTTAAGCGGTTAAACTCCAGCAGCATCCAACAAATGCTCTGGGCTCCAACCTGTGTCAAGACACCTATCTGACCAAAGGAAAATCAAGAGTGAACCAGCTTGATATGCCCTCACCTGAAATGTTCATTAAGAGCAATGGATCAGAAACAGGAGGAGGAATTAAATTGATTTTCGCCTCCTGATCCCAAGGGTGCTGAGGTCTGCTGCTTCCCCAGCACTGAGCAGGAATTGAACTTTGGACTTCCTGGGCAGTGCTTTGATCAACTGAACTTTCAGTGGAGCTCAAGATTATCTTGTCTAAAAGGAAATATATTTTCTAATTTTCCTCGGCATTTTTCACATAGAAATGAATAAAAGGTTCTACGTTGCAAACTTTTTTTAAAAAGTTGTTCAGGATATTCAACATGCTTTTCACAAAAAAGAACATTGACCGGATGGAGTACACAACTTGTTAGGAACCCTACAGTTGATTAGCAAAATTAGAAATATCCCATTAACAATTTACTAGTCAGTCAGCACTAGTTGAGCTTTACAAAACACTAAAACTGACAAATGCAATTGCACATGAAAAACAGTATAAAAGTCTCAACTTGCAAAATAGGGTAGCAACCATGCACCTAACCTAACTTAATTGGTGAGAATGTGACAAAAAGCATTACATTTAAACACACTTTAGTTTAAATCATTAAAAAATACTCCAGTATAATGCCCTTATCCTGACGTTTACCTTTTAATCCTTCAGAGTGCATTGGATGAGTTCATTTGTCTGGGTATGGTTGGTGCTTACAAGCTACTGATGGGTTTAAATAATCCAGCCCTCCACCCAGGTTTAAATCCACACACCAGCAATGTGGCCCTATCAAACTTTCATCTTTAAACCTCTAGCTCTGCAAAGTCAGTCCACAGGCCAGGACGCTGTAGATCTGCAGCCAAGTTAAAATAGCAACACTGGAAACAAAAGCTTGTACTGTACTTTAAAACACAGGAATTGAATATAAAAAAATACTAAAAATATTTTTGTGAACACCCAATAAAGAAAAAAATATTTGAAGAAACCTCTAGTTGGAGATTCATCACAAAGAATTATCGCTCTAATAATTTGTTTTACCACAGGCATCTCTTTGAAATCTGAACAGTCTTGAGTGGTTGAAAAATGCTCTGGAGAAGCTGGTGAACATCAGGAAGATTAGGAATGCATGACTAAACAGTTACAGTGTCAGTTCCACGGCTGCAGCTTCCCTGAAACAAGAATGTTTAAGCTTAGTATTAGTATTAAACTAAGTTTAAGCTTAGTTTAATACTTGTATACATTTTAAGGTATACAAGTATATTTTAAAATGTTTTTTTTAAGTACTGTAGTTGCGACTTTAACCAGTAAACTACAGATTATGCATAACCTGTGACCATCCTCAAATTATTTCTTATATAAAATACAAGTGATCAGTATGCGTTTATCAGAGTTTTGCAAGTATTGCACATCAAACATGTTCAAGTGAATCAAGTAATTTTCCTAGATGTATCAAATAGTACAATTTTACGGTAGCATTTATTGGGACAATCCAACTTGATGTATATTGACATGTGTGAGTAGTCTGGATTGGCAGAAAAATTATTAGCAGAGAGCAAGAAGGAAGACAAAAGACAAAGGAAAATGGTATTCCTTTACAGGACATAATACATGAGAAGGATTTCGCTCCAGCAGTAAAAGGAGCATAGAGAAACACAACTGTGTAACTAAAGGGATAGCATACAGGTCACACAAAGCAATACTAAACTAGTACAGAGTATTGGTCTGGCTATACCTGGAGCAATGCATAATTCTTGAGGCATTTGGAGACTGACCAGCTAAGGACAACTAAATTGAAAGCCAGAAGTAGGCACCTGACTTATAAAGAGAAACTGTAAAAAAATGAGAATATTCCGGGAAGATCTTCACAATTCAAAATGCCATGAAGATTAAACATTAAACTTGAACAGGGATAATGTTTAACACCCACAAACTCTACAAGGGCACAGGCTCAAAGTTCAGAAGAGGGAAGGTCAGCAGATGATTTGGATTCAATCATTTCATATGGTGTTGAATGGGTAGAATATATTATTCAAGAAGGTGATGGGAGATAAAATATGCTAGCAAATTCAGATCCCCTCTCAATCTTCTCCAATGAAAATACATTGATACACCCAACTTTTCCAATCTCTCCTCATAACTGTAGCATATGATATGAGTTCTATGAGATTAGAACTTTATTCATCAAGTCCATCTATCTTACTATTGGTCAATTAGCTTTCAGTTACTATTATAACTTTCCCCCATTAACCTATTTGATTTGCTTCCTTTTTCCCTGTCTTCAAAAGCCTCTCAAAGTACGTACATATTTTCAACCTTTATCTAATGAGTCGAATTGGCTCCAAGGTGACGTGACTGGCAACGGAATGTCGAAAATCGAGTAAATCCTCTGTGCGGTCTAGATAGTCTGGTTCCTGAACCAGGTGTGTCCGCAATATACTGTTAAAGCCCTGCCGATAACAGACTAGTCAGCATGGACTGTCGGCAGGACTTGTAGGGGCAAGATTGGTCAATGGGATAGAGATTCTTCCCACTCAGCTCCTGTTAACCCTGCAAACTAAAGTCCTAATGGATAGGATGGTCCTAACTGGTCAAGCAGCAGAAAGCTTGCCTGACAGTCCTCCCAATGACAATTTATGGGTCTTAGCTGTTTAACCTACAGAAGTACCATAACTCTCTGAAATTCCAAGCTTTAGCTTGTGTCTACCTATGCCCCATACCCTCTGGAATTAGGTAAGCAAGATGCATCCCTCCAGAGGGAGTGTGCATTTTCCATTCAAAACATAGGGAAATTTCCATGTGCAGGTGGCATATATACGTGGATATTCTTAAGCATGGTAATGGGTTTACGGATTTCAGACATCCAGTTGATGAAAAATAGTATATTCCTATGAAATTTCCATTATTTCATTCGAACCTTGGACCAAAAATAGATGCAGGGAAAAGCATTCATGAGAATGCCCGATCCATGGCCTTTCAAGTGCAATAAACATGAATCACTGGGAACATTTTCTAAGAAAATATTCAGCTTTGATCTCATGTGTACAAACTATACAGAAAAGCCATCCAAAAAAAGGATCTGAAATTGATTACATTCCTGAAATGTAGTTGTGGTGATGTGTAACAAAAGCGAACAGCTCTATTATTTTATGCCTGTTTGAAGTCACCAATGAAGAATTAGAATTTAACTGAAATAAAGAAGCAGATATTGTATGTTAACACAGAATTAAGGCTTCATTGTACATTTTTGCTCTAACAAATTAGAAAGATAATCCCAGAAAACTCAATGGTCTTGCAGTTTCTGTAATTAACTTTTCTTTTATGAAAAGATGCAATTTAATATAGAAGTTTCAGGCAAAGTCATTCGATAAATTGTTAGTTACTCTTTATATTACTGTATAAACAAATCTAGAATGAAGTCTGGCCTTAAAGTCAGGTGCCAGCCAAGCTCAGCTGGTAGCACTCCGAGTCAGAGGGTATGGATTCAAGTCCACATTGAGTATTTGAACTCATTCTAGGATGACACTCCAATACAGTGTTGGGGTGAGCTCGGCAATGTTAGATGTTCCTGTGCATTAGACATTAAAATGAGATCTTATCTGCTTGTTCGTGTGTGGGGATATTTGAAAAGTTTCTCCCGATGTCCTGGCCAACAATCCCGCAGATAAAAATTAGATTTCACTGCATGGATTTCATAACTCTTTGTAGGACATTGTTGTGTGCAAATAAATTGCCTTGCTCGCTTACAAAATATAGTCACTTTACAGTAAATCCTGTAAAGCACTTCCAAGATATCCTCCAGAGGCAAAAGGTGTTATTCCAAATGCAAGGATTCTTATGTATTAATAAAGTTATTCTAATACACTTGTGTTGCTTCACAATGAACTAACCAAGTAAAAAAATTAGTAGCTGTTTCAATACTTTTAAGATTATAGATTAAGATTGT